TTGTAAAAGGTTCCTTCTGATTCCTTTTCGCTAAGCACCTCATCCTCTTCATATGCCTGATCGAAAATGCCTTCCTGCTTTTTTATAATCGTTAACTCTTCTACCGACTTGTCCAAGTTGTCTTTGCCACCAGCTAATTCATCCTTTTGATCACTTTTAAATTCTTGTGTCATGAAATTGTTTACCTTTCCCTTGTCGCCTAGCAGCACATTATTCTGCGTGCTCAGCAACGTACTGTTCGTATCCCCCATACTTTTATTTCCTGTGAATATATTGGTTGATGCTGCACCTGCTTCATTTGTGCCTATTTTCTGACCCAAACCGCTACTACCTATCATTGTGCTGCCACCCAAATTGGAGTTTAATCCGCCTAAACCTCCAAATATGCTCGATCCGCTGGCACTAGCACCGGTGCCGGAACCTGCGCCCAAGTTTAAATTCGCGTTCACATTTGATGTCAAATTGGAACCCAAGTTTGAACCCATGCTGGTGCCCACACTTGTACCCATGGTCGTTCCTAAATTGGATCCCATACCTAATCCAACTCCTCCTGTGCTTAACCCGGTACCCACGCCTCCAACTCCGGCGGTGGCACTTGCACCGGTAGTCCCCGCGCCCAAAGAAAAACCAGATGATGTTCCAAATATATTCTTGCTGTCACCCACTCCACCCAAATTCGTACCTGTTGATACATTTCCAAACATATTACTCGTGCTACCACTCTGCGTTGCGCCTCCTAATCCTGGAGTGGAGGAAACTCCAGTGGCAGCAGTATTGACAGATGCACTTTGACCAGCTGTTGCAACCTGTCCAAATATATTATTAAATTTATTTTGGCTCGTTGGCGTTGTCATGGAAGATGAAAACACATTATTACCTCCCATACTGGTACTTGGCGCAGTTGTTGCGCCGAAAAGGCTACTGCTACTTGCAGCTTGTGTGCCTCCTGATAATGCGCCAAAAATGTTACTGCCGGTTTTATTTTGGCTACCCTGCATTGTGCTCCCGAAGAGGTTACTACCCGTCCCAGTAGTTGCACTCGTCCCGGGTGTTGAGGGCATTCCTCCAAACAGGTTACCACCCGTGGCTGGCTTTGCTTGACTGGCTCCCAAGCTACCAAACATGTTGCTGCTACCTGTTGTGCTTTGGCTGGGCGATTGCAACGCTCCAAAAACTCCACCAGTTGGCTTGTTTTGGTTCATGGAAGATGCATTTCCAAAGAGATTTCCAGAGGCAGCGTTCGTCGGCGTGCTGCCGGACATCCCTCCGAAGAGCGTGCTGCTTCCCTTATTTTGACTCATCCCACCAGTAGCACTTCCAAACATGCTGCTACCGCTACTAGTCTGATTAGATGATTGCAACGCTCCAAACAACCCACCACCCTTATTTTGTCCCATGGAGGATGCATTTCCAAACATGTTACTTCCTGGTGTTTGATTAGACTGAGGCGATGTGCCAAATAAACTATTTCCTTTACTTTGATTAGCCGAGGACAAATTTCCAAACATATTTCCGGAGCTAGTTTGATTAGACGATAAATTGCCAAAAAGGTTACTTGACGATTGAGCAGAGCTTTGATTATTCTGTTGCATGCCTCCAAAAATCCCTTTATTGGATAAGTTCGTTCCTGGAGCATTTAAACTGGTTGTGCCCCCAAAAATATTCTTCATGCCTAAGCTATTCTGATTACTTGAATTCATAAATAAATTATTTCCTCCCATATTTCCTTGATTGGCACTATTTCCTACACTTGACCCCCCAAATATATTTTTGTTACCTAAGGTGGACTGACTATTCATATTGTCGTACATCCCTTTATTTCCACTTAAGCCACTGGAGCTCGTGTTCATATTAAACATATTCTTATTCATCAGCGCATTGTTCGATTGAGGGGTTTTCGAAACTCCAAAAATGGACGAGTGATCCGTGTTCGATAGGTTGGATTGGACATTTGCATTTCCAAAGATCCCCTTATTTGCATTGTTCCCTTGATTGTTAAATGATCCAAAGAGATTATTCGACGAGGAATTCTGCATATACATAGTTGTGCAATCATATAAAAAGGAGATAAATACTTTTGTGGTGAAAAAAAGAGGGATGCCACAATTATTCTAATAAAAAAATGTCTTCCTTTTTCTTTATTTTTGTTCATATGCGGTCCTGTCTTCCTGGACTTGAACATATGCTTCTTAACTGTGGCTCAAAGGGATGTACCTTTTCTTCCTCCCCCCACCTTATGCGTTTCTTATCAACGTGGAACTTTCGCTATGCGTATTACGCATTCCACTTTTCGCTTGAATATGGAAATATTCATACGTCACTACACTGATGCACACACGCACGGGCTTTACCGCTATGAGTGAGTGCTTCCATTAACGCAGGAATGCCTATCCGTGCAAAACCTGTTTTCCAAAAACGGTCGAACTTTGAGCCAATTCGGAATGGGCTGAAATATTTTAAATGATCACATATGCTCATGTAACCACTGCAGTCAGGCCATGAGCACAGGCATCTTCGACAGTTCTTACGAGAACGAGGCGATGACCCGCATGCACATATGTGTATGCAAAAAAGGCTACACACATATATATATGCAGTTAAGTTATATACACATTTCCTGGGTTGATCAAAATTTTCTCAGTGCGACACAACCCCAGTCATGCGCTTTTATCCCTTATTTGGGGGAAAATATGCATGTGTAATTTGTGCAATTTTCCTAGCAATAAGGAGACATGTGTTATCCCCACAGTTGATGAAAAAAAAAAAATGTTAATAAAATATGTTGCTGTCTCCCTCCATACGTCAATTGATCATTATTGCAGCCAGGTAAGTTCTCATATCGCATAGGTTGCAGGCACAACTATGCAAACGTGCAACATTACAAATGAACAAATGAACGCTGCGCACGTACATTCACGTATCCGTACACGCGTACTTACGCATGTTGCTCTAACACTACTCCCGTGGGTATTCAGCAATTTTACGCTCTGCTTTTAATACAGTTACAAGTTTGCTAGCCATCCCACTTGTACTAAATTTCCGCTACTTATCGGCGGTCATTTCAAGTAGGTGACGGGAAACAAAATAACAAAAAATGACATAAAAAACTTTCTTAATGGAAAAAAAAAAAAAAAAAAAAAAAAAAAAAAAGCCGCTTTTTACGCGCTATGAATATATATATTACTTTAAGGGCAGAATAAAAATTTGAACGCAAAAAAAGTCCTTGCAATAATATAAGGGGGGACAGAAAAAAAATGCAAGAACATAATACACGCGCGTATATATATGTTTGAAGAAGAGCAAAACAAATGAAATTCTGTAACATATGTGACCGTATGCGGGCTGCGCAAATATGTAAAAATGCGTGAAAAAGTACGCCACGCTACAGGGCATAAAATGGCCGGAGTATATTTCACGTATGCACGGGCGCAACTTCTGTGCGCATTCGCGCAAACGTAATCCATGTGCTCGTGAAAAATAAATAAAACAAAAATAAGAGCAAACGCCGCCCGGGCACACAAGCAAATAACACAAATTAAAAATGGAAAAGGAAAAAACCCAGCTGAAAAAATTGAACATATACGTACACAAATATGTACCTATACATATATAATAGACTTATATGCAAGCTTATATATATATACTTATACTGGGATGACCTATTTTTCAGTAGCTCATTTTCCGTGTAAATAGTATGTTACACTTTTGTGCCGCTCGGGGTGTGCTTCTCTGACCACGCGACAATGGAGGACGAGCTTACGTGCGTTGGCCCCCACCATGGCAGAGTCAAATAACCTCGTCTTAGTTAAATGATGAGGAAATTATATTCCACAAAAAATGAAACGCGCAAATGCGAAAAAAGAATGGCGAAATTAATATATTAAAAAATGACAAAGTGTAAAAAAAAAAAATTCCACCTTGTACCAGTGCAGCGTGGCCTTGTTAAAGAATTTCTCTGTTCTTTTTTCCAGTAGCATTTGATAAACGGCATTTTAATACATAGGACAAATGGTCCCACTCTACATGAAAACACATAAAAAAGTGTACCCTCGGGAAAATTTACCCACGCCTATTCTTCAACCAATTCAATTATGGCAACTCGTGCAACCATTATTCTTGTCCAACACGTGCACCCCTGTTTGTCCACATGGTAAACATTTCCATCAAGCGTTATCGCAAGTAAGAACTGTTTCTGCCTCCCTTACGCGCATATTCAAAAAGATTCACAATGCGAACGGCCAAAGTGAGACCGTGCACACACCATATCACCGTTTAACAGACATTTATCCAGTTTAAAAAAAAAAAAAACACAAGGTGGGAAAAACTATTTCATACTTGTACCTATTAATAGGAACACTTTTTGGATAGCAGTAAATGATAATTCGCAAACGTATTCATTTTTCTTTTTTTTCTAATTCTTTTAAGTTAAGCAGCATAACGAATTCGTGCTTAGCAAATACACAAAATGAGGAAAAGGAAAAAACTGAAAAAAACATTAGCTATAAGCCTATGGGAAAAGGATACCCCCAAATAGGTGTTCAAATATGCACACGTGCACGAGTGCTGATGTACACGCGCTCATACAGAACACAATTAACATATACGAGGCGAGACAGACGCACGCGGTGGTATACGTGTAAATGTGCCTTGCCCCCAAATCAAAATGGTTTCAAAAAAAAAAAAAAAAATGCAAAAATAAAGTAGTACGCATGACAATGGATCCAATTGATCGGATGGAGACTCATATAGTCACTCTGCGCATGGTGAATCTAGGCCGAATTGAGGTTAACTTTAAAAAACCTCTTCATCGTTTCGTACGTCCCCCATGATATGGCTGAAGCAGGAATACACAGAGCCATTCTTGCCACGGATCCCTTGAAAAAGCAACGAAAACCCTCCTTATGATACAAGTTCGATACGACTCGATAAAAACTAAAACCTTTTGCATTAATGCACTCCGTCTGAATCCTCGTCTTAATAACGTCAAGTGGATTTGTTACCACGGCGGCTATTCCGCCACCAATTCCTGCACACACAAAATAGGATGTAATATGATTAAACGGTTTGTTAAAAAACTCGTTCTTCTTCATCCTATTATTATCATCTTTATTATTGTAGTTTCCCAGCCACATATTCTTTAACTGCATATTATCGCATTTGGCCCCCGTAAAGTTAAACGTGTCGCCTATCCTATGGTTATATTTTTCCGAAAGGTCATTAATTGAGCTGTTTTCTGATTTGTTCATTACATTTTTAAATAAAACTTCCTCGTTCATCTGTTCCCCATCGAATGTTGTTTGGCTAGTCAGCAAAGCATGTTTCCCCCCATTTGGAGCGTACTTTTGGCCGCGACTTTTACTCATATAATTCACCGAATTTGTGTCCTTCTCAATGAACATGTTGATTAATTTGTCATTGTTGCAGCGAAGTTCTTTCATGCTGCTAAGTAACTTGTCCGAAGAAGCGCCTGCTTCACCGCGTTTCGCTTCGCTATTGTGCAGACGGTACGTACCATTGCTCGCAGGTGTATTTTTGCTCTCTTCCTTTGCTTCTGCGTTTGTACCTCCTCCTCCTGCAACAGAGTCACTCCTATCACTACTCCCAGCAGTGTTGCACGCACCTTGGCTGTTATTCCTACCCAACCCCCCACTCATGCCGCAAAAATACTCGAAGTAAAGTTTCTTCATTTTTTCATTTGTACATATCATAATAATTTGGTAGGGGATGTTCATGAGCAGGGTTATTGGCAAACTTAAATATAAACTCCTGATTCCATGTTCCCTTAAGATCTTTATCGAATCCAAAGAATTTTTGTTTATGCCTAACTGCAACCTCTGCTTTAGCGTATCTATGGGGGTGATAATCAAATCATGCGCAAGGGTTGCTAAAAACCCTGACACGGCTATGCCAAAATAATTTAGGTCTCCCAAGTGGTAATTTCCCCCTTTGTTTTTCTTCGTATTAACATGGTCATTCCCCCCTTCCAGGCGGCTACCCCCGCTGCCCCGTACTTGGACAGCCAAATTCTTAGAGCATATACTGGAGAAATATTTTTTACTATATTCAAATGTGGAGAAATACATGGCATGCGCAGGAATGCATCCTAATATGACAACATTAACCCCCTTGTACAGATTGGAAATATTGCTTCTTCTCAAACTGTAGTTTTGCCTCGTTCTTATGTTCACACCGTTGGACAGATCTGGAAATAGGCTCCTAATAAAGTTAAAGCTTTTTCCATTTCTGCTAAATCTGGAGTAGCTAAAATTGGAGTTCCTATTTTTGTAAAAATTATTTTTGCATGAAGAAGAGTGAATACTTCTGTCAAACAAGTTTCTGTAAATATAACTTTTGCTTACATAACACAGGTTATTACGAAATATGTTGTTATTGTTTCTTAACAAGGAGTAGTAAGAATTTAGGCCATCCTTCCTCATTATCACTGCTTGGCCATTAGATAACACTGATGTGCTTAGGCCACTATTATACCACTTGGCTGAGAGAAGACCCTTTTTTATATTTTCCAAAATGGAGGTAAAAATTTTCCATTCATTTTTTTGGAACATATAACTTTTTTTGAATGCCTCACTGGGAAGGAAATGATCAAATTGGGGATTCTTAATTGTCCTTTGGAACAGCTTCAAATAATTACTTAACCGTAATTTGTTGCGCCCATCAGTATTGCCACTACTTGCGCATTTCTGTTCCGCAAAAATAAAAGAGAAATTGGTTTCCTTCCCTAGTTTGTTAGACTTACTTATCACATATCCCTTATCATTCGCTATTCTTGGAACATCACTACCTTTTAAAATTCTCCTCAAAGATAGACCGCTGTTCCACCCGACACGCACCAAATGAGTGTTACCACTTCTGCTACTCGTTCTATGGGTACATTTTCCCAAAAGATCATTTAGTAATACATTGTTTATCTTTTTTATCCCCCTTAAATTCTTTTTTATTACATGATTCGCCCCCACCTTGCGGAGAAGTAGCTTCATTTCAATGTAACCCTTCTGTGCAGGATTACAACTTTTCACTGTTTCTCCATTTGCAGCATATTTATAGTACTGACTTTTTCGCCCCCACATGGGTGCACCATTGCCGGTCTTCTTGAAAATAATTCTCCCTGTGACTTTTTTGGAGCCCAAATGATTAATCTCTGTGCGATCAACTGAACAGGGGCAACCATCCTTCTTAAGATTGTTACATATGACTTTATTTGTGTTGTCTTTACACTGACATTTCGTAGCAGCACTAGTAGATGTATCGCAAGTAATTCCAAACCTTTGGAGGTTTTTCATTTCTTGCATTGCTTGCACAGTTCCTCCGCTTCTAGCCCTACTTAAGGTATTCCTTCCCATCCTACTAGGACTTCTGGCTAATGAATGAATTTTCATATTCTGGGAGTTACCCACGTTGCAGCTGTCACCAACACCCCCAGGAGGTTTATCAAACAAATTGCATGCTCGGTACTTTCTTAATCTGACCAATCGGTTATACTCACCGTTACCACATTTTTCCTGCTTAACACTTCTACTCTCGGTACCAGAGTGTTTATTCATTACTCTACTATGGTATTTACGCGGTTGACTTTTTTTATTCACCACCTGGGCCATTACTCCCCCTTGTTCTACATTTAAACCGCAGAAAAGGAATTGTCTCAAATATTGTTTACTCTTTCTCAATCCATCTGATGTAGCACCAAGTGTGCTGGCGTGGAAAACACCTTTTTTATTAAACGGAGCCATCATCTTCATGTTACAAAAATTATCATAAGTACATGTCTTCTTATAAATACACCCATCACATCCTCCTCTAGACGTGCAAAAATTTTTCTTATCCATAGGAAAGCCACTTTTGTGAGCATTTATGCCGTTGACATTGCTCCCATTCCCATTTTGTCCGTACAGGTTGCATCTGTCGTACGCTCTCCTGTTGCCCTTCAGAAGATCGGTCGTTTGTATATACGTTTTAATCGTGTCCAGCGGGTACATAAAAACGTGCTCCATCAGCCCTGCTATACTTCCACAGAATATATGTTGCCACAAGGGCACATCACCCTTGTACTCTTCCCATTCTTCCCAAATGAAATCAAAAGACTCAAGTTCGATGTCATCAAAGGCGTCATTTACGGATAGTTCGTTCATCTTACTTTTACTTTCCTGTCAATTTAGTGTTGCCTCACCAGTGGCGCACAATTGGCGAGGTCTCGATTATTTAGTAATGGCTATTTTTTTTTTTTTTTATTTCTTTTTTCCCTATACTAATCAAACTACCATTACCTCTTGTCGCCTTAACATGAAAAATTGTATGTTATTATAACACGAAAAGGAGCCACCTTCCACTCATAATTTATCTCCACCACATTGCTCTTCTATGTATAAAGGACACAGGAAACAGGGTTTCATTAAAAAAAGAAAAAAAAAAAAATAGGTTGCAATTGTCTCAATACATTATCAAAAAGCAAAAACCGATCTTTAAATCTGCTTCACGTCCCCTTTGTTATGTTAGAACAAATTCTATTATATGTGGTTACAAGAACAAAAATGATCTTATCTTAATAACCAAGCATTTTCAAGTGCAGCTAACTCACCATGAAGACACTTTACGAGTACGTGCAGGGACTCATATATTATACAAATGGTAAATGGGGGCAAGGTAAGAAAAATTGCAACTTTTACAAATTGGCTAATTAAAGAGTACAAAAAAAAAAAAAAAAAAAAAAGGCACGAATAAATGAAAAAAAACAAACAAACAAATGTGAGAAGTCAGCAATTACCTGATAATTCAAAAAGTAGGAAGAAGTCCAACAAAAGGAAAAGGAAAAAAAAAAAAAAAAAAAAAAAAAAAAAAAAAAGAGCTAAAAGT